GTAGTTCCCAGGTGACTATCCTGGGTGTGTTGAAACCTGAAACCGGGTGGCTTGTGGCTATCCCAGTCTTCAATCTTGTGGGTTTGTTTTCCGAGTTTAGGATGATGCCTCCTACAATCATACCCCGGATTACCCTACCGGCTGCAGCAAACAATCCTCATGCCTTGAATTAGCAAATTCCACCGAGGTTTGTTTTGGATTTCTTGTAATCGTTGACTTATTATTATTATTATTTTATAACACGCCAATTACCAAGTCTCATCAAGCGTTTGACCGCTGCGTGACCTGGTATTTCGACTAATCACAAAAGGTTGACCACGTTGTACCGCCTTCCGTTCTTTCTAGTTGATCATGGTTGCATGGCGGTCCCCCAGTGGTAGTGGGGTGGCATCCCAACTATTAGGTTTTCTGAAAACGACCGATTTTTCAATATATATTCTAAAAAGGGATATTGAATTTTGGTGAAATTTAACAGCTTTGGATTTTAGTCGAATTTCTGTCATTTGGTAAAATTCAGTTTGCTCGAAGTTAATTTACCCCAGTCTATAGTACACTTCTTCAGGTGAAGTACCCTAGAAGTGGAATCGACAACCCATGTTGAATGTCTTCTCAGACTACGGTACCTACTTTCTTACCTCCATTAGAATTTCAACCCCTAACCGCTACAACCTTCTCCACCTGTAGCGCATACTGACCTGTTAGTTGTGTTTCACATTTCATCTTATCTCGTCTAATATACAGTAAACTTTGAGAGTCTCAAAGCTCATGAATTGGAACAGATCCCACTTGTTGAATCCTTATAACAAGTGGTCACCTATCCAACACCGGACCCTCCTCCTAATAATAGAACTCCCACCGACCATTCATTACCTGTGTCTTGGATGGCATAATCTGGTCTCATCTATAGAACACTTCTTCTGTTTAAGTACTCTAGAAGTGGACTCCACAATCCATGGTGGAGCTCTTTAAAAAACTAAAGCACCCAGTTACCTAACTTGATCAGCATTTTCGTTCCAATTCTGCTCTGTCTCTTCCCCTTTCCAATATCAGCTGGGCATCCCCTCAGACTGCCGAGTTTCACTTTCCTGTTCCAGATTTGGTTATCCTGGGCCTGACGAAGGCTTGGGGTCTACACTCGCGACNGGACAATTTGGCTCCGGCAATGGTTGTTGGGCGCAGCTGTATCAACCGCTTTGACTCTCTGCGCCCGCATTCCGGACCAGGTTGAGGAACGCGACTCCTGCCTCACCTAAGAGATATTTAAAGGTTGGGTGTCCAGCGTGCACTAAAGCCCACATCAAAGC